GATGAGCTGCGAAGGGTGCAAAGGGTTCTTCAGGTGGGACGGGGCTGGGCAGGACGAGGGGGGACGGAGAGGGACGGCGTGGGGACAGAAGGGGACAGAAAGGGACGGGGGGGAGGGGAGAGAGAGGACGGCACAGCGGGGACGAAAGCGGACGCGAAGGCGCAGCGGGGACAGCGGCGTCCCCAACCTGAGCGCTGCTCTGCCCCCAGGGCACGGCGCCCGTTGTCACGGCTCAGCTCTACCCCCGTGTCCCCCTGTCCCGTGTCCCCACGTCCCACATCCCCGCATCCCACATCTCCTCTCCACGTCCCCACATCCCAGATTCCCTCGTCCCTCGCTCCCCATCCCACGGCTCCAACTCCACGTCCCCCGGTCCCCCTGTCCCCATCCCTCCAGCCCCCCAACTCCCAGCCCCACGGCCCCCTCACCCATAACCCCACATCCCCGTGACCCCCAGGCGCTCCATCCTTAAGGCTGTGCACTTCACCTGCCCCTTCTCCCGGAGCTGCCCCATAACCAAGGCCAAGCGCCGGCAGTGCCAGGCGTGCCGCCTCCAGAAGTGCCTCGACGTGGGGATGAGGAAGGACAGTGAGTGGCGCCATGGGGGTGGGAGTGGGGGGAGAAGGGAAGGGGGGAGTAGGGACAAGGGGGGACGCTGGGGTGGGAGAAAGGGGCTTTGAGAGAGAGGGGATGGGAGGGGATGGGGGGAAACAGGGATGTGAGGGTGGAAGGGATGAGGAGGGACGGAGTGGGGCACTGGGGGCTGAGATGCGGCTTGGGTGGGATGACAGGAGACAGAGAGAGGGAATGCGGGAGAGTCAGATGGTGCGATGGGAGATCAAGGTGGGACAAAGGCCATTGAGAGGAGCCAGAGAGGACATTCAGGAGACCCCAGTGGGACAAAGGAGATTGGAGGACATCAGTGGGACAACAGGAGGCGTGCGGGGGGCGTCTGGGGACCCTGCTGCACAAAAGGGAGAAGGGACCCAGAGGGGCCACAGAGCACAGGGACAGGGGAGCAAGCTGAAGGCACAGAGCTGTGGGGTTGAGAAGAGGGAGGGATGGTGGCAGCCCAGCAGCTCCGTGCGCCCAGTGCTGCGCTCGGCACCACGCCTGGCGCTGCTGACACGTGTGGGGCGCAGTGATCATGTCAGAGGAGGCCGTGGGCCGGCGCCGGGCGCTGCGGCTGCAGCGGAGGTTGGCACAGATGCAGTCCGGGGGGCTGACGGAGGAGCAGCAGGAGCTCATCAGCATCCTCATCGCCGCACACAAACGCACCTTCGACTCCAGCTTCTCCCAGTTCCAGCACTACCGGGTGAGCTGGGAACCACGGTGCCGTTGGTTTCCAGCCCCGGGCGGCTGCTGACCCCACAGCTCTGCCCCCAGCCTGCTGTGCGTCTCTGCATCCCCGACCTGCACTCCCAGAGCCCCCCCGGACCGGGCGTCCCTTCGGCACCCCTGGTCCCACAGATGAACTGCCTGGATGAGGATGTGCTGCCTGACGTCTTCTCCGTCCTGCCCCACTTTGCCGACCTCAGCACCTTCATGATCCAGCAGGTCATCAGGTTTGCCAAGGAGATCCCAGCATTCAGGTGAGCGTGGGGCCGGGGCGGCCATCCCAAATCCAACGCCATCCCAAATCCAACACCATCCCAAATCCAAAGCCATCCCCAACCCAACTCCATCCCAACCCAACTCCATCCCAACCCAACGCCATCCCAAACCAACGCCATCCCCCCATCAATCCAACAACCCAACCCAATGCCATCCCTCCACCCCGTGCCACAACCCAACGTGTCCCCATCCCACTCCTGTCCCCTTGTCCCCACACAGAGGGCTGCCCATCGATGACCAGATCTCGCTGCTCAAAGGAGCCACACTGGGCATCTGCCAGATCCAATTCAACACAGTGTTCAACGAGGAAACCAACGCCTGGGAGTGCGGGCAGCACTGCTTCACCATCGAGGACGGAGCTCTGGGTGAGCGCTGAGGGGCCGGAGGGGCGGCCGTGTCCCCATCTGGGCTCACAGGTCCCCTCGCTCTGCACAGCCGGCTTCCAGCAGATCTACCTGGAGCCGCTGCTCAAATTCCACGTCAGCCTGAAGAAGCTGCGGCTGCACGAGGCTGAGTACGTCCTGCTGCTGGCCATGCTGCTCTTCTCGCCAGGTAGGGGACGTGGTGGCCGCCGTGGGCTCCCTCCCCCCGGCCGCCAGCTGATGGCCCCCCGTCGCCCCCCAGACCACGCCAGCGTCACCCAGCGGGATTTCATTGACCAGCTGCAGGAGAAGGTGGCCCTCACGCTCAAGAGCTACATCGACCACCAGCACCCCATGCCCGAGGGCAGGTAGCCGCCACGGCCACCACCTGGTCCCCAACGCCACCTGTGCTCTTCAACTCCACGGCCGTCCCCATTCGCACACCTGATCCCCAATGCTGTGGGGTCACCCTCAGTGCCTCGCCTGGTCCCCACTTCCACACTGTCGTCCCCAACTCTACACGTGGTCCCCAGTGCCCCACATGGTCCCCAAAGCCACGCCGTCATCCTCAACACCACGTGTGGTGCCCAACACTATCAGTCCTTCCAATTCCACACGTGGTCATCCCCAGCTCCACACTATCCCCAACTCCATGTTGTCCCCAACTCCACACTGTCCCCAACTCCACGTTGTCCCCAACTCCACACTGTCCCCAACTCCACACTGTCCCCAACTCCACATTGTCCCCAACTCCACGTTGTCCCCAACTCCACATTGTCCCCAACTCCACACTGTCCCCAACTCCACACTGTCCCCAACTCCACGTTGTCCCCAACTCCACATTGTCCCCAACTCCACACTGTCCCCAACTCCACGTTGTCCCCAGCTCCACGTTGTCCCCAACTCCACACTGTCCCCAACTCCACGTTGTCCCCAGCTCCACACTGTCCCCAACTCCACACTGTCCCCAACTCCACATTGTCCCCAACTCCACGTTGTCCCCAACTCCACACTGTCCCCAACTCCACACTGTCCCCAGCTCCACCTGCTCATCCCCAACGCCACATGGCCCCCAATGCCACTCATGGTCCCCAGCTCCACATCGTCATCCCAAACGCAGCGCCTGGTCCCCAACCCCAAATTCATCCCCAACACCACCAGAAATCCCCCTCCCCAAAGCGTCCCCCAGCACCACGGGGCGCCCAGCAGCTGCTCCCCGGCCCAGGTTCCTCTACGCCAAGCTGCTGCTGCTGCTGACGGAGCTGCAGACCCTGAAGATGGAGAACACGCGGCAGATCCTCCACATCCAGGACCTCTCCAGCATGACGCCGCTGCTCTCCGAAATCATCAGCTGAAGCCCAGCCAGGCGCTCAGCCCCCGTCCCCACGGAAGGGGCTCCGTCGCGCTTTGCTTTGCACAGTAAAGCTCTTTTCTCTTTCCTGCCTCTGTGCTCTTTAGAGTCGCTCTCAACACAGCTGCGCTCTGATCCCGTGCCTCCGTCCGTCTTTTGGGTCCCTCCCCACCCCAGCTGTTCCATCAATCCATCACTTCTGATGCCGTGAACCCAAAAAACCCGATGCTTCCACAGTTCTGTATTTCCTGAGATCCCTTCCAACCCAACCACATCCCAGAAGCCCCCCCAGCATCAATAATGGGCAAGGAGCGCCCAAAGGTGCACCCTAAAACCCTGCAGGGTCACTGGGGCCGTCCAAGGCTGCACCCCAAGGCCCCCACCCAGGGCAGGGAGCGCCCCATGCCCCAAAGCTGCGCCCCCAAGCCCTTATGGGGCACTCAGAACGCCCAGAAACCCCAATGGGAGGAGAGGGGTCTCCCAAAAGTGCAACCCCAAACCCCTGGGGGACACCATGGACACCCAAAGGAGAGCAGCCTGGCTTTGTCCCCCCCTTCCCATCCCCAAGTCCCACCCCGTCCATGACTTTGTCCCCATCCCTGCCCCCTCTGTGTCCCCTGTCCCCATACCTTTATCCTAAAGTCTCTCCCCTGCTTCCCCCCACCCCTGTCCCCACGTCTCCCCATCCCTGTGCTTGTCCCATCCCTGTCCCCTTCTTGTCCCTTACCTCCCTCCCCCTGCCCCCCCACCCGTCCCCATTCGGTGCCATCCCCTGCCCATCCCCACGTGCCACCCACGTCCCCACCCGTCCCCACGTGCCACCCATCCCCGCCTCCCCGCAGCTCAAGTTCAAAGTTCAAAGTCCACGGGGCTACAGAGGGGACGATCGTGGAGCGGTGACAAGCCCACAACAGCGGCGACTTTGGGGACGCCAGCACAGCGGTGACAGCGGGCACAGCGGCCCAGGTACCGGAGGGCTCCTTCTCCCCGTGGCTCAGCCTGTGGGGCCGGTGGGACGAGGAGGCTTTGAGGGGACAGGGAGGGGACGCGGCGGCGGGGCAGGGCCGGGCGTCACACCATGGCAACGTCACCGTCGTCCCGCAGGCGCTGTGCCCGCAGGGTCCCCTTGTGGACGCAGCCCCTCCATCACCCCC